CTTTGCAAATTCGATTTGTGCATTTCCACGTTTCCCTCTCCCCCCAAACAGGAGCTGAAGAAACTGCCTAACAACCAGCAAACCATCTTTTCCCCCAGCGACCCAGCAATGCAGGTCTTAGGCCTCTGCGCCTGGCCCTCAAAAGCTCACGGGAGGTGATGCTTTAATACAAGATCTGATTGCCCAGAACATGGTTCTGGTTCCAAGAGTCCAGATTCAACCAGGAGCATCTCTGCAGTTGGGAGGAAATCAGCTCCGAGTCAGGTCAGCGAAAAACTCAGCTGCTGAATTTGTATAACGTGGTAAGCTTCATTAACTTTTAACTGGAATTAAAAATTTAAAAACTGGAGGGTGGGCAAAAGCTGAACTAAGTTCTCTAGATCAAGGTTTCTCCACCGTGGCAACTTTAAGACCTGTGGCCTTCAAGTCCCAGAATTCCCCAGCCAGCAAATGTTGGTTGAACAAGCTGGTCCGGTTCAGATGCTGAGCTGAGACGGAGAAGGCGTGGTTCTCACAATGTATTTGACCTCAGCCTTCTGTGTTTGGGTTGTGCAAATTTAGCCTTGGAATGATAGGAATTCCGAGCCGAGTTCCGCACCAGCCTTCCATATCAAAATATTTGTTTCTAGTAACCTAGGTTTCCTTCGTACGATTCTTATCTATGGAGCAAAGATGGAAGGAAGGAAGGGTCATTTTTAGATGAGATTGTGAGTCACCAATCTTGACTCAGCTTTTGCGCTTCGGAATGCAGCCTGGGAGCACCGAGACCTGTTTCCCAGTGAATCACGTTTGGGGAGATGGGGTGCGCGAATGCTGAGGCGACCAGAGATCTGCAATCTTGGGAGTGCCAAATACACCTGGGATTTAAATCCAGCCTGATACACCTCTCTTGCTCACGGTCTTGGAGTTGGTGGAGAAATTATGGTTTTCACCATGGCCGTTCCGTCGGTTGGCACTTCTTTTAGACAAGGGGGAAAAAACTCTCCCAGGAATTTTCCAAGGATGGAGCGCAGAATTGTACATCATCATAGACTTAGAGTTTCTAATGACCTCAGAGGTCATCTAGTCCAACCCCCAATGCAAGATCCATCCCCTTTGTTGGAAGACCTTTGGTAAAGAACATATCGTGGCACGCGGCACACAGTCCCACAGTCTAACAGCTTCTACAGTCAGGAAGCTCCTCTCACGCTCTCTGAATCTTTGCTAGGCTAAACTTACCAGATCCTTAACAGTTCCTCCTTAAGGCCTTCCTTAAACCCCAAGATAAGGCACTGGGGGAGGGAATTCCTCCTGGGAATCTTCTTCAGATCACCCTCCTCCGGGATTCGCCGGGCATGACCCAAAGCATCCCCGGAATGAGGCAGAAAACCAGAAGCCTCTCCTGCAGGGGAAACGTGCAGGAGGGTGGATTTGGGGGCAGCCTCGTACATCGCCCACCCATCTCACCCCCCGGGAAGGCACAGGGCCTGCGGCCAGCTTGGACGCAGTCCCGCTCTCGCGCTAAGGGTTCAGAGGGAGAGGAGGGGGCTCGAGCAGATGTTGCTCCCTCCCCCCAGCGCCGAGGCTGGGGTAACGGATGCCAACAGCTGTGAGGGGCCTGAGACTCTTCTAGCTGGAGCTCCCTGCCCATTTCCCACTCCCTCCTCTGCTCGGTGCCAGGATGACCGTTCGGGGCGTAACAGCCCAGGGACCGAGAGAGGTTCGTCGAGAATGCCGGAAACCGGCCACAGAAAACATGCCGGACTGCCCAGGGGCGCTCGGAAACCCGGGCTATATGGGGACGGGGAAAAAATGACTCACGCACCACCCGTGCCAGGGAGCCTTGGCATTCCTGGCAAGGAGGAAGCTGGGCTGGGCAGGGACACTTGTGGATTCCCAAGCTGCTTGATTCATCCCCCCTCTGCCCAGCGCTCTTCCCCAAAGCTTGCGCTGCAGAAAGTCACAACGCGGGTGGAAGGACGCGTCTTTGTGTCCGAAGGCGAAACCCGGCAGCCTTCAAAGCGATCTGTTACCTCTTGGCGTTAAAGCGGAGGTAGTTTGTTTTTGCTTTCCTCCCAGGGAGGATTTTCCAACTTCCCCATCTAGACTACAGCCCTGGGGTTTCCTTGTGGTCTCCCATCCAAACGCCAGCCAGTCCAGCCCTGCTTTGCTTTTCTGAGGTCAGCCAAGGTTTGTTAAGCGTTGCTGGCAACCGTGACACGCTCGGTAAACGTTAGTACCGAGCAGCCTTTAAAAAAACGACTGAGGGGAAAAAAATCAAATAAATGAGGAATAATCGTATTAATTCAAATTAAGCCCTGTCTTGGCCCTGCCTGCTGCGTAACACCAGCAGGTACACTGGAGGGCAAAAAAGTGACAGAGTTCCTGCCTACATGCAAGGCCTTATCGCCTATATAACAAATATAACTCAACACACTAAACCAAACTTCAGCCATCAGATCGGTGTTTCTCAACCTTGGCCACTTTAAGAGGGGTGGACTTCAACTCCCAGAATTTCCCAGCCAGTGTGCTTCAAGATGTGTGGACTTAGGGTGAGTTGTGATTTCCAAGCAACTTTCTGACAAGCCATGATTAAGGTTAAGTACCTTGGGTCCTGTAATCAGGGGTCACACGGTGTGTGAATGCTGACCCTTTCACTGAGTGTTGTGTGAACGGGGCCGTGGAAAGGAGATCGTTGCTCTGGGTCTGACTGATGCTGTTCACTTTATCATGACTTCTGCACAATGCACCAAGCCAGAAACTAATCACTGGGTTTGGATTCTCACAACTGTCTGGACCAGTGTTTCTCAACCTTGGCCGCTTTAAGAGGGGTGGACTTCAACTCCCAGAATTCCCCAGCCAGCC